CCCCCCCCCCCCCCCCCCCCCCCCACCTTGAAAAAAAAAAAATCATTTCCATCGCTTCACTTCACATTGCAGCCCTGAATGCTTCGCTCTGGACTTTCGAGTCGCAAAGAGCCTCAAAAAAACAACGGAAGAATTCGAAACAAAAAGAAACAAAACAAGAACAGATAAAGCGGCCATCCATTTTGTCAAACACTATGTGGTCTCATTTCGTCGACCTCACGATAAAAACGAGTACCGGCACGCACCTGCATATCAAGTAACCCGTGCGATTCAACCCATGCGTACAGTGGATCCCGATCAGCTTCCCTGCGGAGACAAAAGACCAACTAGGCATTTAATAAAAAAAAAAGCAAATAAAAAAAAAGGCCATGACATTCTTGGTCGAGTACAGGGGACCGACAGGTCCATCCAGATCCAGAGGGGATGAGATAGATAATCGTCGGAGGCGGCCGTGTTTGCCCAGCACTCCATCTGAAGAGCACAGAAGATCTCGGGCAGCTGGGTATCTTCCAGCTTGGGTATATTCCAGCTGGGGTATGTTCCAGCTGAGTATCTTCCAGCGCGGGGGGATGTACGCCTGCGAATCGAATCGCCGGTTCCGCGGAAGAATCTTTTGAGATCGTTGGATCTCGAAAATCATTATCACTACTAACAATTTTACAGAGGTCGGCTACCCCTAAAAGCTTGAATCCACTCCAAGTGGAATCCTCCTCTACAAGGTATTCACTCCGCAAAAAAAAAAATCCCCTCGACGAGATCTTTGAGAGGTGCGAAATACGACTCACAACGGCGCGAGTCCTTACGAGATGCCAACAGTGAATCGAATCTGAATCTCCTATGAACTCAGAGATCGAATCATGCATCGAATCACGCGACTCGCAATTCGTACATCACTGAATAATATACGATACGAAAGATCATCGTGCATTGGAATGAGAATCATGCACGCGGGATGCCACTTGTGTAAGAACCCCTTGCCAGAGCGAGCGAGAGAGAGAGAGAGAGAGAGAGACTACAGACTACAGAGGAGGCCTTTGTATGGAACCACCTTCAACCATTGTCTCTAGTTGCTACGACCATGGATGTGTAATATGTGGATTCTCTCCCCCCCCCCCCCGGGGGTAATCCTTCCACAGTGCCACCAGAGACGCGGTGCTACTTCTACCGGGGTTCGCCTGATACCTGAATGTCAGGTCGCTTTTCACTCACCGTTCGAGGAATTTTCTTCTATGAACGCGTCCACGACCTGGAAGAACCTGAGGGGGAAAAAATACAACAGACTCAACAACACAGCTCTATCCGAGCATTCCATTCAATCCTAAGTGAAGAAACGGAAAAAAAGGGGGGACCGAGTCTGATGAAACGCACCGTGAAAGGGGGGAGGGGAAAAAAAGGAAAAAAACCTCACCATGGGCGGTCATAAAGACTCAATTGCGCTTGCATAATAATGGGTGTTATAAGGGGACGCGGGGCGTTAAAAGGTGGTAAGGCGTTTATGACGCCTTCCTCTTCTCGTTTCCAAAGAAAGTCAATTGCCCGGGAAGAGACCCGAGGGAGGGGATGAGTCGTAAAAACTCATCTCCAAACATTTTTCCACCTTCAATCTCCTTCGGCCCCGATTGGACCACACAGATTTCCCAATGCTTCCTTTCCCCTTCACCTCATCCACAAGAAACCCGAAATCTATAGGTCTACTTGTTCTCGGAAAAAAAAGGTTGGTCATTATGAGAACAAATGGAAGATTTTAGAACTCTTGGGAGATACTAAAAAAAAAAAAATCACTCGGGTCTCGCTCATCCTGTCAAGGGCCATGAACCTCGAGCCAAATGAACCTCGAAATGTCCAGGGTTTTTTTTTTCCCTCCCCCTAGCTAAATGTTCGGGACCTTGAACTTCAGCCAAGAATGCCCAAAAGGTATGAAGACGGAATCCACGCATCAAGACCCTAAATGAAGACGAATCCCCCCAGATTGAGAGGTCAGTGGCAGCAGAGGGAACAGTTGGAACTAGGAAAAAAAAAAAAGAATCCGTTTCCCCGCTCCAGAAGAGGATATATACAACACCTGTCGAAGGGAGGAGAATTTAGGGATGCAATATAAATGGGAGGGAAGAGAATGAGAACACCTCCGGGCGCGAGATAGACATAATTACGACTCATGGTCATTGTCCAAACTGACCATCGACCACCCGGAAGGTTGACGACTCCATTCCCCCCATAAGGTCCTTTTCCTTTTTATACGCCTTTCCTTCTGTTTCGCGTCCGTTCCCTTTCTACCTCGTCAACCTCTGCGGCGTTCTGGGATCTAGCCCGTCCGCGCACCCTCCCCCCCTCCCCCCTCAGATGGTGAGAAATGCAGTCTTGCGTAAACCGGTTTGAATCTTAAAAGAGCTCATCTCGCCGGGGGACTCACTGGGAGACGATGAAAGTGTCCGGGATCGCGTGCCCCGGGCACCGGATCTTATGGTGGCGTACCCCAACTCCCTCAAATTCCTATTAAAAAGAGAAGCGAAAAAATATGTTCACGACAAATGAGGTGGCGGATACGAGAACATAAAGGACAAGGGGGTCGGTACCTGGCTGTTGTAATAGCGGGTCGTGTTAGTCAGGTCGATGACTAACCCCAGCTCCGGCACTGCACTCAGGAAGTCTTCGGGAAGAAACCGCTCCGCTGGCGCCAGCTGGTGGCTGTATTCCTAGCGAAAAAAAGAAATATGTTCAAAATCACTTTTTCCAAGATGTGTGAGAACTGAAAGTCTGCCTATTCGATGGACCAGTAATCAATTCGAATGAAACAGCGTAGACGCAACACCGAGGAAAAGACGAAATTCATCGTCTATCCCACTAGTCAAGCCTGGAAATCTGCACGAGACATCGTAATCAAGGTGAATTGCAGTGACAAGAACGGAGGGACACACGACATTTTATAAGGCAGGAACCACCAGCACAGCCGCAGGCCTTATCTGATCCCCGCAGCGAAAACAATGACACCGTGGAAGGGCAACGGAACAAACGAGACAAAAAAGGCCTCCCTCCAGACCGAGAGGGAGATGGCCAAGACAAGACGAGAGAAAAAAAAAGTCAGACAGACTACCACGACACAAAACGTCAAGGTGACACGAGCACAGCCACCACCGGCATCCCGACCGATCCGTCATCATCGTCCGGCCACCGTGTCATCGGCCGTGCAGCGTTGGAAAAACGGCGCAGCAAATCGGTGCAGCGGACGGAAGAGAAAAAAAAAAGGAGACGATGATCCCACGACCCTTGAACTCCGGCGAGGACTTCCTCTAGATTTATGGAAACGCCCTCCTCTTCGACCGGAGAGGAATTGCGGTCGTGGAAGGAATCCCCTCCGCATGCATCCTCTCCGAAAACGACGACGAAAGAACGGGATATTTGGGCAGAGACAGAGCCACGGCGGGGCCCCTCGCCCATAGATCTCGTGTCCCGGGCGTGGACGCTCTTGCCCGCTCCCAGCATGCATCGGCGGACGGGGCAAGAAATCTTCCCGGACGATTCACACTGCACTCTTCTCCTCCGTTCGCATTTCACCGCGACCAGATAGATTGCTGCCTATCGAAGGAGTTCGACCGACCGCTGCTAGCAAACTGCAGGAAGTACCTCCACGATGAAGGAGGTCATTTGGAGGAGAAAGAGGATAATCTATTTTGGGATTCACCTTGAGGACAGAATCGACACGATCCGGAAAGATGGCAGGAGTGTCTTGGTGTACTGTATCTGGGGAGATTTAAAAAAAGGCCCCATCTTTTCTATGGGAGAAAGGTAGCTTCGTATGTGCGACCAACAATAAGTTAGATAAGCGATCGACATCGGACGGCTACAAGGTGGATGGTTGGAATGGGGATTAGGTTTTTGTTTCAGCCATACAATGCCCCCTTACAAAATTTACAGGAGAACCATTTCACCACTGGTGGTCTGTAGCTAGACCATCTCAGTAATCAAAATAAATTTGAAATGCAGTCGGATTAAGGTGGGAATAGCGTATAGCCGAAATGGCAGGTCTCTATGACAAACGAGGGCCGAGATTTAAATTAAATTAAATTTAAAGTTTTAAATTTGCCACTGAGACAAAAATTTGCAATTAGAAACCAACTTTCTAATTTCACAGCAGAAAAAATACGCAAGAATCAAAACACCGCAAGATCACTTGATGAGTTGGATCATGGAATCATGGATTCGTCCTCTACTAACCCCCCCCTTAAATTTGACACGAGTGTCACTCTTCACCCAGAGTCACTGGATTGGCATTTTATAAATACCGGTAGTTTTCAAGTTGACAACTTTCCTAGAAAATATTAATTAAGCGTTATTGATTTTAATTCTCCTTTCTTTGGTCTTAAATTTGAGATACAGTCGGCGCACTTAATGAACGCTATAACGAAGAACACTATTTAAGGAAAAATACATCAACATTTGATTAGCCATAGCATCTCCCTGTACAAATTATAAAAAAGTTGTAACGAATTATGATATTACGAAATATACCTGGTTACGAAGTAATTTTCCTGCACCGATCGGCATAAAAGCTTTTAGGACGAAATCGCAAAATTTCCATGCCAATTCTATCCCATTACAAGCCAATAATGGGGCAGGAACATCATTTTAAAGGCAATTACGGGGTCACTTTCATATAAGCGTTATGCTTTACTGAACGTAGAAATGGGTTGCAAGAAAGCAATGCTGTACAGCATACCGTCACTCTGCACTGGCATCTTGCACACCGTATATCTACATCTACTTCATCTTGAGGTACGAATGAGGAAAATTGTACTTTTTCAAAATTTCCTTATAACATTTTTTTTTTAAGCGAAAGACGTTATGACGAAGGAAAAACGACCCCCTTGATTTTCGTAATAGCGAGCGCTGACTGTATCGACCAATTCTTCAGGTGAAAAAGCAAGGAAAGGGGCCTGGGAAGCCGTATTACCCCAGTGGCAAATTTCAAGCTCCGTTTTGCAGAAGAGGCCAACGGTTTTCTGCTATTAGCTCCTCTCACCTTCATCCGATCGCCTGCCAAATTTGACTGAATTCTGCGATTGCCGACCATAGACGATCGGCACACTTGCGGTGCAGCGATCCACCTGCAGATTGTGTAACGTATGACTGGGACAAGAGTACTGACTAACACCTATTCTTCATTCAAACACCTCTTGGTCTTCTGATGTCATTCGCTTATCTAAATTATCGTTGGTCGCATATACGAAACCACCTTTCTCTTATAAAAAAACGAAGGGGCTTTTTTTTTTCCTTTTGTCATTCTACATACTCGATGCCTATCGTCATGACAAATTTTTATCTTCGATACTTCTAGCAGAACTGACAATTTTCAGAAATTTTAGCGAATTACAGCTCAAGATTTAGGCGAAGAAATAATCCCATCTCACGATGTCGCACCGAACTGCAATCGCCGCAGAGGCACTTGACTATTTTTAGATAATCGCAGTTTCCTAAGGAAAAAAGAACGCATTGTTTTCACTCGTATTATCTCATATCGAAGGTCGGACCAAGGGTCGGACTCGACCGGGCAAGCGAAGACGACTCGGACGCGGAAGCGCGTCCATGCATCGCACGAAACGGGAACCAATCCGCTCCCCATTGTCCTCCCGCATTCAAAAGACAAGGGAAAAATGACAAAACAATTCCACCTTGACACCTCTTGAAAGAATGGAGATGATTTATTCTTCGCGGAGACCTCTCTCAATGGAGAGATTTCCGCGCGGGTCTGCCAAGTGACACCTGGGTGATCTGTGGCCGCGCCCTCCGCGCCCCCCCCCCCCCCTTCCCCCCCCCCTGCCCCCGCCCCCCTCACAATGCGAGAAAGTCTCACGCGGATGCTGAAAACGGAGCGAGGACGATTGAACTCGCGACGAGGGAAGCCTTCCACTTCGGTCGCTTATACTTCTTTCGGTCACCTCGTCACCTTTCGCATCCGATTCCA